CACCAGTCGTTCTTTATGAACAACAACACCTAAAAAGAGCTACCTAAAAATAAAAAATACCAATTAAAGTAGGTAAAGTTGAGATCCTGAAACTGAGCTCATCTGTTATACAAGAGCTGTGTGGGTGTGTTATTGACAGTAACTTGTTCACATAAGTGTCCCTGCAGATGCTGTTGCATTTTCAATTTAATGTTGCTAAATCCTGAGCAGGACAGACAGACATAAGAGATCAACGTTCTCCCAAACCAGCACTGAAAAATATAAAGGGATAAACAGAGATCCTGGAATATGAAATATAATAATAGCCATTATTGCCCCAAAACAATGTTGACGCTCCCTAATAGATTTCATAATAATAACATTTTTCCAGCAGTGTTTACCACTTTAACCTTTTCTGGAAAATTTAACCTGTTAAAATCACTTCCTAGCAGTGTGAGAAAGTATTTGGAAAATTTCCAAAAAACTAAACCAACAGTTTTTCAAAATTAACATTAAGTGTTTTTTAAATTTCTTCCTTTTTTTCAAAAATATGTCTACGTCTTTATTCTAGTTAAGTGAAAGCTGAACTTTATGCTGACGAGAGTCCTTAAAGGCAACACATACCTGCAGGCCTCCACGATGCTGGAAACAGGAAGTAAATGCACTGCTTCAAACTTGTGCAGAACAACCTATGAATGATAAAAACAAATGTTAAATAAAATGAATGTTTTATCATTCATGGAAATAAGAAATGATTATTTACGTCCACGGATATAATGAGTAATTATCTGTCTTCTAATGTGGACGTACAGTAATACATCACTGTCAGCTGTCCATAATGTCACTGTGACTGATGGTCCTGTAATTAAACTTCATTCACACTGACTGCTGCAGCGGGTTGTATGTTATTATGATGTGCTTTATTTTTTTTGTCACGAAGAGTAGTTTGCTTCTTTGAAAAAGAGTCAGTGATTCTTTTTTTTTTTACAACTCAAGTGCAGTTTATAAGAGCGGGGCCTACTGCAGGAGTTAAGGAGTTACCTAGAAGGATAGTATCAGTGATGATGAATGGCTGACAGAACTGGACAGATTAGCACATGCTGGTGTTAGTGATTACAGAGCCGAGGATGCAGAGGGAGATGATGGTGACAAGGAAACCTCAGGGGTTGAAAAAACAGAATTGTCTGGAAAAATCAATACAAATCAATGAAGCTACCTACATGAGGCCTAGACTGTTTATACGGAACAGAAAGAGCTGCAGCATCCTCCTTCCGACTGTAGAAGTAGGTTTATAGAAGTGTGGGACAGAATGAGGCTGCATCTGACGTCATTTCTAACCGCAATGAATACAATCAATCAATCAATTAATCAATCAATCAATCAATCAATGTGGATGGAATGAACAGAACGATTCCTACTGCAGGTTCTGTTTGTGGAGCGAAGCCTTTCACAGAGACCAAAAAGAAAAAACAAAGATTGTACAAAGTTTTCAGCCCTTTTTTTCTGACCATGTTATCGTCTCAAGAGTGGATGCTCAGGATGTGACATGTGTCTTTAGCCCGAGAGAACATTGTCTACATTTAATGCTCCATTTGTGCCGTGCATGTACAGCTGATAAATCATTTAGTCTTGGTCTCAAGTTTCCTAAAAGCACTTTTACTGCTGTTCATGTCATGCAGCCTAAACGCACAAGCAGACGGCACAGACAGCCCTCAGTACGTGTCAGTAAAGCATCACGTCCACAGTGACTGCAGTATTTGTCTGCTATTGTATGATAAACATCAGTTTTGTGTCAGTGCCTGTTCTCTCCTGCTCCCGTACAAGCTGCGGGGCCTTTGCTCCGTGTCCCTCGGTCACCAGCCGTCCTGTCAATCTCCCTCTGCCTTTCCCTGAGCCTGAGGGTCCACACATCTGACAGCCGGTCCCAGCGCTGACTCCCACTCTGACCATCTGTCTGGTCAGAGAATTACTGCTGACAAGTGAAAGTTCTCTGAGTGTTTTTCAGCTTTCTAAAGCAGATGTCACCATTATTACATTTTTATTTATCATTATTAAGTAGTAGCAGTTGTTTCTGTTAGTAACAGTGTTGACGCACCTTGGGGTTAAATGATCAGACATGGGAAACCAGGAACTGCAACAAGCAACCAAACAGACAAACAGACCTGCAGACACACCTGCAACATGTTCTTCATCTTAATCATAGCCTGTTGATTAAGATAAAGATTTTATCTGCTTTTTTTGTCATTGTTTACATTTTGTCCTCCTGTTTTTACCCCATCCATTTGGGGGCAGCAGCCACTTTTTTAAGAGTCAGGGGAGAAACGACGCCAAACTCAGCCAGGGCAGGATTCAGCTAGAACTGCTGAGCACCACACTAATGGAAGGTCATTGTCTGTTTCCTATTATAACCCTGTAGTATTCAGTAAAACCACATAGACATATTATATAAAAATGTGTTCAAACCTAAAGCAGTGACCTCAGAATGCTTTCAAATTAGCTATCTTCTTTTCTCACCAATGTCCTTTTCATAAGTAATTACAAAGGTAAACAAAACATTTTATCCAAAACTACAAATTGTTTCCATTAAAAATTCAATTTTCCATGTTGAAAAGTGACAAGAAACAGCCTTTGGCAAGTGTCAATTTGAACCATATCTAAATGAACTTTTGCTGTAAAATGCCTTCATCTTTAGTCAACAAAATATCAAACAAATACACTGTCCTAACTTGAGATACTTCCTGAACGAAAGTGAAGCTGGGTACGACTGAGGTGATGGACATACTTCACTATAATAAATCAAAAATGGTCACTATCACATTATTCTGCCAGACATTTCTGTTAAAGTTATGCACCGCTGAAAAACAAAAACAACAATAATCGTGTTTTTTATCTGCTGTCGACAGTCATGCAGAAACAATTGCTGGAGTGGAATTATAAATAAGAACACGTTGTTCGCTCCTCCTGAGGGAGGGCCGCGCTCTCCAGTGTTGTATTCCCAGTTTAAATCCGGATTATTGTCCCTCAACAATACCTGATGTACGACATAAAACAATTAAACACCGGGGATGTTGGAAAAAGGAATTATTGATGCAGAAAATTGAGTTTCAAAAATGAAATGTAAGTAAAACGCTTCTCGGAGCAGGAGTAATTATGAAGGAGCTGGTGTTTGTGTGTGTGGAGTGTGTGTGTCTTCAAGCTTGTGTGGTTATTAATTGACACTTTTTTATAGTCTCTCAGAATACATAGGTTTCTAAATGTAATGCTGGATGTATTTTATTTTTTAATGTGTGCACAAACTGGTTTGAACATTATCAAATTACAGCAGTGCCTTTCACCAAATACACACACTCACACTCATTAGAGAATGAGAAAAGCACAGCAGAGTAAAGGCCATCGCATTGTAAATATTAGCTGTCTATCAGCAGAGCTCTGAAGCTCTGAATCATCCTGTGTGTGTGTGTGTGTGTGTGTGTGTGTGTGTGTGTGTGTGTGTGTGTGTGTGTGTTTTGGGCATCATAAAGCATAGTTTCAAGTATAAACAGCTGGTCCACTTCAACCTGTGTCTTTAGAACACTACACAACACCACTGACTGCACAAACAGACTAATTGGCTGTGATAGACACTTATAATAAGACCAATGCTATTCTGTTTCCACTGCCATTATTTGAGCACAATCACAATCGATCCTCCACTCTGGCTTTTCCTTTACTAAAATCCCATCTTAACAAAAAAAAAAAAAAAAACACCCTCTCTTTCTCTCTCTCTCCCCCTCTTCAGCACAGCGCTCACTAACATGTTGTGAATCCAGGGTCACTTTCTTGACACCAGGGAATGAGTTTCAAGAGACCTATTGCTCTGCAGTGAGTGGATAAATCAGTCACTTACTGAGGTACACGACCTTCATGTTGCAGCCCACACAGGCCTACATCTACCTGAAGCTGAAACTTCTCTCCGGCTCCTTTGTATTTGCATGTTTGAAATCACTTCTCTCCCTCTGCAGCTGATGAACGGCAGTTCAGCCGCACACCCAAAGAAGCACTCCTTGACCACTTGAACTTAGTCCATTTTTATTTTCCACAGTTATTAAAGTGGATGACAGCAGAGGTTAACGTGTTGGTCTCACAACCTGAATGTTGGCTGAATAAAAAGCTGGATAAAAAGCTTTTTTTTTTCTAAAAAAAAAAAAAGCCGTCTGTGATATTATCACCCCTCTTCTCTTCATCGTTATAGACATTGTTGCATCTTTCAAATTTCTCTGAAGACTGCACACTCGTAGCCCCTCTCACAATATTTCAGCGGGAAAAACAGATGCTGTCAGCATTAAGCGGCAGCAGTCTCACCGTACGTTGCACAGCAGTAACAAAGTCAGGCAACTTTACAGGCTGGATAATGAACATAGTGGAGCGGTGAGCAGTAAAAAAGCCAGATGTCTGTTTCTCTAGAGGTTGGGAGACTTTTTTTTTCTGTTCTGCCTGTTCAACTGTAAAACTAAACCGGTTCAGTTTAACAGATACAGCTTGTTGCCCTGTGAGGGGTCACTTGGAAAAAAACAAGCAATCTACAGCTCTATAAATATTAGGGATTAAAAAATGAACGTTTGCATTGAATTTTTCGTAAATTTGCAGCGCAAGGTCTTTGACTGAATTCTGCTGGGATTCCATAAACGGGTAAAAATAATGAGTTGTGTCAAGTCAGATCTCTGAGGAGTTTTGCTATTTTCCTGCATTTACTATAGTTTGCAACACAGTTTTGTTTTCAGTGTCACTGTTTTTAAGTGTGAAGTGTAGTTCTGCACTCCCTTTGACTTCTTGGCTTATTTTAGAATTTTCTCTTTACTATAATTGCAATTCAAACTAAACCACAGACTCTGCAGTTCTTTTGCATTTTCTTCCCACAGACAGCAACTTCATCCTGGCCAACGCTCAAGTTTCCAAAGGCTTTCCTATTGTCTACTGCTCCGATGGCTTCTGTGAGCTCACAGGATTTTCCCGGGCAGAGGTCATGCAGAAGAGCTGCGCCTGTAAGTTCCTCTACGGACCCGAGACCAGCGAAAGTATCATCCTCAGCATCGACGAGGCCTTGGAGGAGCGCAAGGAGTTCAAGGACGAGATCATGTTCTACAAAAAGACCGGTGAGACTCGAAAAGTTAGACTCGGGAGAAAGAATTTTGTCTCGTTTTTGGTTCACTGCTGTTAAAAATTTCAGCCACTAATTAGACTTTTTTTTGTCTGTAAGGCTGTGAGCCTTGAAGTTTGACACTTGCTTCTGTGTGTGAGTGCTGCATTTTCAAAAAGATGAGTGCAAGACAGCCCTCGGGGGTGAAGCAAACACAAAGACTCACCTAGCAAGCCTCTCTCAGATGCCTCTCACAAACCTTATTCACTCCTACTCAGGGGAACCTGGTGCTTTGTCCATACGTAGGCAGGTGCTGTCAGAAACACAACATAAAAGTTATCAGTAGCTTTTGGCTCTTCATCCAAAAACAAACTGTGGATGACATCACTTACATGCACTCTAACAGATCTGACTGAAGGGTGTTTTTGATAAGACATTTTTAGATTTGTTTGCAATTAAATTATTTAAATAATACATTTGCATTTTAATATTAACAGTAATCTTTGGTACGTCGAGCAGGGACAGTTCCTATATCTTGACCAGAATATTTTACCAGTCTTTCATGACCCCACCTGTGACCAGCAGCTAACAGGAAACACCCATCTGAGCCATTCTATACCCCAGGTACTCAACCTCCTGCACCACAAACTGGTTTAATGTAAGAGGGTATTTACACAGGCTGTGTTTTCAGGGCGTGGTTAAAGAATATAACAGTAGAAAGTCATCCATTATCTGCTGCCTATTCCTTTCCAAGCCAGCAAAGTGGGCCCTGGAGCAAATCCCAGCTATCAACAGGTGAGGGCCAGTCCATCACAGGGCGACATTTAGAGACAGCCAACCATTCACACTCACATTCATTCACTTTCTCACCATTTTTTAACTTCGGGAGGAAACCAGAGTTTCCTCACAGAGAATATATGAGAACATGCAAACTCTATACAGAAAGATCCACCGGGAATTAAACCAGCGTGTTCTCATTTGGTATAAAAGTCTATGACGTTCACATTAAACTCTCCCTGTAAATGTATAAAGATTGTTCAACAATAGATGGAAATGTGATTGGAATAATCAATGGCTAAACTGATGCATTTTCCTTAACAAGGTATTAACTGCAGGCCCTTTCACAATAAAAGCCACCCCTATTATTGGTTGTTATTTAACTTTCATCTCACAAAGTCTCATCTCCGTCTCCTTCAAACACCTCAGGTCCAGCAGCTGTAGTTCTGCTCTGCTGTGGTGTGTCTCATTGATTGTCCAGCTGGTCAGTAAGCTGAATAGAGGAAAAATAATGAGCCCATCACTGGTTACATTCTTGCTGTGAATGTGTGTCCTTATGTGTTTTCTGCAGGTTTTTGGTCTACTGCTGAGGTCATTAGACAGAAATCATTTACTTTGTTCATTTTTTCCCCCTAAATGCTCAACATTAAGGTTTAAAAAATGAAGAGGGACATGTTCTGTATTGTCCATTTACTTCTTGTGGTGGAGCTTTTATTTTTTTGTTACATAATCTTCCAGAGCAGATGTTGCCACTGTTGTCATGGAAATATACGCATCCAAATTTTGTCCACTGCCTGCTGAAGACAGAAAATGGGAGATTTTGATGTGCAATCCTAAAAATGAGGACTGTTTTGTCGTGTTTTTACACTTTGCCAGTGACACTCTGCTGGTTTTAGCTGACACTCGGTGCAGCTGCTACGAGCAATTACCGTAATGTTTTTCACATTGATCAGAAGAAGGTATTGATTTCAAGAGTTGTTGTTGTGGCACGTTGGTAAAGCTACAGCTCCTTAATGTGTCATCATTAAATTGTGGCTCCCTAAAGCGTAGCTTAGGTTGTTCCTAAGTATTAGTGGCTGCAGAAATGAAACGCTTCTCTTCTTGGATTCTGCATCTGATAGAGAATACAATACGTTAAATCCCAGGTTTTAATCTTAGCAAGAATGTTAGAGACTAGAGAAGACATAGAGGGGGACTAAGACCATGCTGATGTAATGATACTAACGTTAATTTAATAAAGCATAAATTAATTGAGGATTGCAAATATAGCATGAGCATAAGACATTCAGATCATTTCTGTACAGTCAGTGTTTAACCTGTTTGTTTCTAAGACTGCTTACAGGTTACTTTTTAAGTTCTTGGCTAACCACAAGTTACATTTGGGGGGAAATGGTATTTATATGAAAAGCACAGCTGGGCTAAATTTTGGTTCATTCACAGACATTAAAGATGGTCGCAGGAGGAGAGCTGATAATCTGCACGTGGCTCTGGAGCCACAGGTTGCAGATCACTAGTCTAGAAAAACCATGTTCCACTGAGAGCAAGACGCAAATTCCCATAATGTCTTCTCTTTACTTTACAATCTTACTACATTTTATTATAGGGGATGTTTCCGAAATCATGAAATATCCATAAGATATTTTAATGAATTTAATGAAACTCCTTTTGTTTTTGAATTATGATGCCTTTGCTTTGTTGGTGCAATTTCTTAAAGTATGAAACAGATTTTACAGGAAAAGTGAGTCTAAAAAGTGAGAATAAAATCAGATGTTTTTGCCACTTATTCTATCTACACACCTTTCCTTCTGCCCTTGTGTTCGTGATCAGGTTCCTTTTTTCTAACCTTTTATCTTACCCTGTCTCCCAGATGACAAAAACACTTTCTTTCCTCCTCAGTTCTATCTGTGCCAGTTGACCTGTCTTTGCCAGGGAAAAACAAAATCCCCTGCCCCCTACTCAAAAAAAAAAAAAAAAAAAAATCAATCAGGAATGCAGTTTTCTCTCAGTGTGTTGCCTGGTAGGAGCCGCATCAGCTCGTCTGGTGGGAATGTAGACGCACGCAGACAACCACGTGCACACGCACGCATAATCAGAGACGAACTCTGTAATTGACTCATCAACAGGCAAAGAATATTGAGTGAGTGGGAGTAATGGGAGGGAACTTGGTGGGAAATCCCTTTTAATCAGCAATTCATGTTTACTCTCTAAATTGTTGAGAATGAGCAGAAAGTAACCTTAGGATATTTTTATGCTGCAAAATAAGTCAGTCCGTAGCGAATGCGAAGAAACCTAAGCTATTTTCTTCGGCAAATATTCAATATCCTGTGTACGCCGTACATTGTGCTAAAACAAACAAAAACACACTAACACTAGACCGGTCCAAAGCAATCAGCTGCTCACAGATAGTGACCTGCAGTTCCTCTGGAAAAACTATCTATTTAGCAGGAGATGGAACCTCAGGGAGAGGTTCATCTCTCTGTGTGCCGGGGGACCGGGGACTCTTGTCTATTTAAAGGTTGTGATTCTCCCCAGAGACTCCCAGCTGTAGATAGGCATACTAATAAGTCTGGGAATCTATTGTCTGTGTCTCTGTACCAGTACACACCCAACACAAGCACGCACACACACACACACTTGTGTATACATATCATAAATCTATCCAGAGTACACTCGAAGCTGGTGTTAATGGGAGTCTTTTTCTTCTGTTTCTCTTTCAGTCGCTCTGTTCTGGTGCCTGCTGGACATTGTTCCAATTAAAAACGAGAAGGGAGACGTGGTGCTCTTCCTGGCTTCATTTAAGGACATCACAGACACCAAAGCTAAAGTCATTCAAGAGGACAAGAAGGAAGGTCAGTGTGTATGTGTGTATGTGTGTGGCTGTACTGCGTGCACACACAAATAATTACATTGATAAGGGACCTCTGCGGGGCGCTCCTCTTCTATCAGTTCTTATATACTGTAATAGGAGACACATCCACTTCCTTTGTAGCATACAGATGATATACTAAATACAACAAATGGATATTTCGCTCGTTGGAAATTTAAACTCTAATAAAAATGTCTTTGTGGACATTTTAACATCAGTGTTTTAGTCCCTGTGCTGTAGAATAACAAAAAGTTAGCATCTTAGCATCAAGTCCTGATGCATGTATCAAATCTTTCAACATCCCCACTGTTCTGAGGTCAATGGTTTTAAAAGAAGTGGAAAACTGGCAAATCATTCATTCAACTGTCATGTTGCTACTAACCATCCAGGACATGACTGGAAAAAAACCCCTCATACACACTGTAAAGGCTCCTTCCAGTCACCTTGAGCAAGGACAACTCATTCAATTCCAGGAAATCCAAATTCCCTTTTTTATATATATTTTTACGCTTAAATGCCGACCATTAATTTACAATTCTGAGCCCCAGAAAGGACTGAACGGAAACATTTGTCCAGTCTGTTGTTCTGTTCTGTTCTGTGTGGCTGCAGCCAATCTGCCTCAGGTGCATCATGTTCTGTATTCAGAGCTGCTTCTCGGCCTCTGCTGTCCCCGTTGTTAAAAGTGGTGATTTAAGATACTATTTCCTTCGCATCAATTCACTCTGTTAAAAACAGCACTTAGAGCTGCCTGTCTCGGCACCAACAATCACTTAAAAATACACAAATTCACTTTACAGTACTGGTTAAGACAATCGGTTCGAGCATCAACCCGGTCTGGACCACTTGACTGTTTGCCAAAGAGCCTTTGATTTAATTAGATAATAAAGCATTTTGCAGTTATGAGCACTTTCATAGGTGTACCCTATAGAGTGATAATGAGAGTGAGATTAAAGTTTTGTGCGTTTTTGCTCCGGCACAAACTCCAGGTCAGGCTGGGTATGGCAGACACTTTGATGGCAGCAGTGCATCAGTGATTCTGACAACTCTTTCAGAACTTCACCTCCTGTTTACCCTTCCGTTTTAATGAGATCCATTTGTGTGAATCCAAACTAAAGGAAATGATGCAAATTTTGCTCGCAAAATCAATTTCCTCAAAGGGTTGCCTTAAGGGCAACATCTAAGCTACAGCCAAAAAGTAACCTACAAAGCCAGAGAGAAGGTCACTGTGTGTGTGTGTGTGTGTATGTCAGCAAACTTTTTTATCTTAAGGTCTGCCTGATTATTCTCATCACTGCAAATTACCAGGAAGTGAAATTCGTGTTCTTTTTTGCCTACATGAATATGTCTCCCCAGAAAAGGTAAAATGCTGATGTGGCTTGACATCAGATTGACACGAATGCATGACAAGCTGGTTTAAATGAATATGCCTGGTAAGTCTCACTGGGAATTTGCATTTTGGGGCCATTCTCAGTATGATGCAAAGGACGGAGCTGCAGCCTAAAGACATTTAAAGCAAATATAACGGGTTTGAAAAACCCCAGATTAAAAAGTCTGTTTTTTTGTGAAAGTGTCATCAGTACAGAAACGTCTTCAAGTCACAGTAACGATTTTAAATGCTGGCTTGGTCATTTCAAGATTTAAAAAACAGACGTCTGAAGGTTTTTCGGGATTAGTTACGGTTTACTACCTTTAACTTAGAGCACTTTAACAAACCTCAGGTTTTCTGAGGAAAACATAAACCATTAACCACCATCACACTCCACAGTGTGTTTGCTCTTCTTTTAATAACGTGTTATGTTGGGTTTTTTTTAAGGCCAAATCAATCCAGTCCTAGCACTTTATACCCCATGTGTTCTGACTTGATTTTGCAATTCTTTCCTATAACCTAGTAAAAAAAAAGGAAATAATTTTGAATCATTTAAATTTAATTTAAATTTGAATTTAAATAAAGACATTTATTGTGTAAATCCATGTAAAAAGCAACTAGTACTTTTCAGATTCCTTTTTTTTTATTGTTGTGTTGTTAAGTTTTTAATTTGTTTCTATTGCTTTTTTTTTTTCATTTTCAGACCACTGTACACACAGTACATGTGTGTGGTGGTGCTCACATTTGTTGTGATTATTTATTCCTATCAACATACATTTATTTTTATTAAAATACCCCCTCGCCCATAGATTTATTTAAAAAAATTTAATATTTACATTTATGGGTCTTGACAGAGATGGGAAACTTTCTCCAATAAAAATAAAAATATTTTGGTGTCATTATTTTCACTCCTGTCATTTACCAGCAGTGTCTACATTTCATATCCACTACAGTTGTCATGCACATTGACAGCATAATAAATTTGAGCTACTGAGGGAAACCACTAGTCTCCACTCACTTCACTTTTCTGGTGTCCTTTCCTCACCTCTATCTCTCCCCCATCTCCTCCAAATATACCTGCATTTACACAATTCCCATCTCCCCTATATGCCCTACATGCCTTTGCCCCAACCCCCTTCCTTACGTACGACATCTAGCCCCTCCTGCCTATACATCCTCCTGTACCCTCACATGAATGGCTATAAACGCAGAGGGAAATTCATTAGATCTAAAAATAAGCATGTCTCTGTGCTCCTGCTCTATCGCATCCCCCCAAGGCCGTAGCATGTTATGGATGGGCCCTGTCTGTTTGCCTCTACTGGGGTCTGTGCACTCACACATACAACCGAAGCGCACACACACACAGAGACACACTGTGCAGACTTTCCAAATGAAGGTAAGAGGCACTTATCACTACAATCCCTCAGCTTTGTTATTGCCTTTACACTGTATGCCCCCAGGCCAATCTGACCGCCGTCCTTTCCTATGGGTTCATGGTGGTGAGAATGGGGCTTGAAAAACCTAGGAGAAATAAAATGCCTCCCGCAATTATCCGACTCTTCAGTCTGAATACAGCACTCCTGAGCTCAGCCTCAATTACAAAAACACTGAAAGTGCAGATAAAAAAAAAATCTTTCTCACCTTTCATTAACATTATTTTTTAATTTATCTTCATCTAATATGAACTTCATTCATGTCTTAGACTTCATTTCTGATCAAAGCTTAGCCAAGGGGACAATGGTGACAATAAACTGACCTGAAGTGTATTATTAAGTGTATTAAGGGCACAATCTAATTTTTTTCCCCTTTTTGTTGATTGAAGAACAGATCTGTGATCCACTGTATAGATCAGTAAAAATAAATAAACTGTTTGCTCACGTCGCTTAAAGATGCACAAGGCCAGGACAGGTCTACTCAGCACTTCTCTAAGACTGCACCGCTCATCCCTACCCCTCCAGACTCCTTGTTATTTTGTCATTGCAGACTTGGTTTGGTGAATTTGGATTTAACTGCTGTTTCAGTCTAAGTCCACTAAACCGAGACATAAATAGACACTAATTCTTTATACTAACATTTTTCCAGCTTCTGTCTCACTGTTATTTTCAAGTTTAGAATTGTGCAACTTCCACCGAGAAATGACTTTACGTTTTCTTTAGCGTACTGTGCTAGACATTCAGGACATGAATATGATGTGTTTCATCAACCATAATGACTGATTCAGTCAGCAGGAGTTACCCCTGGGGGGCAAAGTGTTGAAGGGATGTGAGTACTCACGTGTGTGTGTGTGTGTTGACAGAGCGACGGCGTGGCAGGGTGAAAACAGGCTCTCAGTTCAGCTCGGCTCGTCTCCGCAGCAGCACAGTTCTCTACCACATCTCTGGTCACCTGCACAGCAGAGAGAAGAGCAAGATCAAACTCAACAAGGTATCTTCAGACACCGGGGCAGGGGTCAAGGGTCAGGGTCTTTTACAGTAAACCTGCCTTGATAACAATTTATGAAAAAACAAACAAATAATGGAACATACTGTCACATAAAGATGATGTAAAGCATTTTCTAAATGATGAAAATCACTTGAAATTTTACTTAAAGCCCTAAAAAACAGAAAATATTTGGTAAATTATATGTGATAAACAAAGAGTTGTAGTTCTTAGAGGTATGTGGAATAAATGACTACAAATAACTGTTCTGCGTGCTAGGCTATCATGAAGATTCTCTCATGGTCACACAAAAAAGTAAATAACAGCATTCAGTTAGTGCTAGCTAATGTGATGCTGTGTAAGACCCTAAAAGTAAAAACAGTACAAACGTACAGCGGTCTTTAACTTCCCATAAATACACTGTAGAGAGAGTGGCATCAGATTATTAACTGTTTGTTTGTCATGTTTTGTTTTTATATGTTCTGTTAACTAATCATCTTTTCTGGACCAGAATGTGTTTGGGGATCCGCCCGCTCTGCCAGAATACAAGGTAGCAGACGCCAAGAAGTCCAAATTCATCTTACTGCACTACAGCATGTTCAAAGCCGGCTGGGACTGGCTGATTTTGCTCGCGACTTTCTACGTTGCCGTGACGGTGCCATACAACGTGTGCTTTATCGGCGACGACGACGACCTGACGCGCAGCACCACCGTCAGTGACATCGCTGTGGAGATACTGTTCATCATAGGTGGGTGGTACAGATGTTAATTACTAGGAGAAAGTGAATTATTGATGGATTTCTCCAGCTTACGTTAACTTAATTATTTATGGACAATTAGACAATGTGACACAATGTGAATTGTTCTAGTGCACGTCAGAATTCACTACTATTATATTATTATGATGATTATGAGGATTAGAATTAATAATCATTTAACATAATGTTTAATAATAATCCATTTGCTTCTCTTTTATTTACATTTCAGACATAGTTTTCAATTTCCGCACCAGTTACGTCAGCAAATCCGGCCAAGTGATCTTTGAGGCCCGGCAGATCTGCATCCACTACCTGACCACGTGGTTTATCATCGACCTGGTGGCTGCATTACCCTTTGACCTGCTCTATGGCTTCAGAGTCAGCGTTGTGAGTAGCTATTGGCACGTCTCCTCAGCACCACCAACAATCGAGAATTAATCCAGACCATAATCAATGAGTGTGTACATAACTATGTTGTTGAATACAGTGGATAGATTAATGCAATTATTGAGCCAAAACAAATGGTATCTTCTCTCTAAATTTGTGTAAAAGAATCTGATAAATTATGCATGTTAAAAATACTCTATGCCTGGAAATACAGTGGAATACTTATGGAACGTGAAAGACTATTTCAAACATCTGATTTTTACGACTGATTGACGGCCCTGCAGCAGGACTCACAGATGTCACACTGTCACACTGTTGATGAGCAACGACCACGCCACCTTTTACATTAGAATAAATTGCACAGATCCTTCCTAGCGCTGCGCTACAGATTAACTGTGTGTATTGATTCCACATAATGGTCAAGTGCGTGAAAAGCAATTCCACTGTATGATTAGAAGCATTTCCTCCCCTGCACTGGTCAAATACGTGCTCCCTTTAAGACTAGCCGGAGAGGAAGAAGAAGCAAAGACGAGCAGCAATTAGTTACAGAGGAGCTTGTCTTGTCTGCGGCTGAATGATGTCACCCAGTGGATGCCGCACACTGTAGGGAGGACTTGACTGCCTTCTTATGGAAGTTTTTTGCTGCCTGAGTTCTAATTTAGAGAAGAAGACATTTTGACAGTTCCTTATGTTCCTGTTTATTCCCCACTCGAATAACGTGAACAGTCCAGTATGGGAATGAGCCATACCTGGGCTCGTCTTAGGTAAGACTGTGACAAAAAATAAAAGATGGGAAAAAAATAAAAAATAATAGAAGAAGGCTCTGCTAGATTTGTGAAGTAATAATAAGATACGGCCATCTGTTAGTTCGGGAAGTAAATGTTAACGAAGCCAAGTCTGCAGAAACGTGATACCCAAATTATAATATAACTAAACATTAATCTAAAGTGTTAATAGTCTTTAATGTTTGTGTAGAAGATGTTATTGTTATGTGAATTATGTTCCCATTTACAAAAAAAAAAAAACTTTTCTAGTGAAATACTCAATATATCTTTTACTTTCCATGACAAGTCCAGTTAAAGTAATGGAATGAATTCTATCCTGAAACCTGCATAAATTACAAGAACCTTTAAGTAGTTTTTTTTAATGAGGGTTCTACTGTAGAACATAGAAAATACCTAAGATCTTTGGTTTGAGATTTAGAAAGAATTGCTCTCTAAACTAACCACAGCCGGCTTTTTTACTAATCTAAATTATTGTAGATCAATATATCATCCAGTACCAACTTCTTTAATTTCAATCCTGAATTTTTTATTCTCTTTTAAAGGATTTTGAAAAACTGTCAGGGCATCGTTTTTAACAGAACCCCTGAATGTTAATCATTTCCACAAACACCTTGTCAACTATTTTGCTGTTTTACTACTACAGGAGTAAAACAGCAACATATTCTGCTGAGTCTATACTAAAAGATAGTGGTGGAGGTAAGCACGGCTCCAGGTGAAGGTGCCTTTAACTTTCTGATTCTATTAATAGAAATACTCCTCTCTCCCAGTGGTGGAGTATTTGGGTGTAGGGCAACACGATCACCAGTTCCCCTGCTGCCACCTGGGACCTGGAAAATGTCCAGTTATAACTGAGCATCAGCGTTCCACTAAGGACACAGTGATGTCACCTTTGAAACCACCAACATATTTCACCCACACAGTCATGCAGACCCCAGTGTTGTAGGGCAGTTGGAAAGCTGTAATCTTGCAACTAGACACAACTAGAGTCTAATGTAGGTAATGGTTTGTTTTTATATGAATCATGACTTTGTCTTACTTTTGCATAATAAGTAAGTCTTGGTAACAGTTACCATGGAGTTTCTATATGTTTCCATTTACCAGATTCAGACGTTTTCCACCTATTGCCAGAGTTACTGACTGACTATTGATTTGATTGGTTTTTTTAAACACACAGGCCTTGAAGCCTGTGTGATAAATAACACTGATCGGTAGCAGTCACATTGTTGTGTTTGTCCCAGAGGGCTGTGTGGATTCAAGCTTCAGGAGGGAAAATAATTAGTTATTATATTGTGCGCACGTATACAAGAAGCAGCGGGAAAGTAAGCAATCATGTAGCAAAATGTAAATTTCACACCTGATGACCAGAGGAAATGAAAATGTGAATGGCACCGAGAGTGGGAGCCAAAGTGAGAGTGGGACAGACAGGGATTGTTGTGTGGGCTAAATTGCACCGCTGCTGCGGGAGGAGAATGTGGTGCTGCTCAGGCCTCTCCCTCTATAGGTGGGATGTGGAGTGGTGATAGATGGAAAAGAGATAGAGCGTCTCCCCAGGGCTCAGCAGGAGGCTTCATTACTGGTCGTGCTGCTCCGGTTTCTCTGTTTTTTCACAGTAAGAGTGTGTGAAAAAACCACCATAAAACACACTGGAGACGTGCGGGAGCCGCTCTGATAAGGCCTGTCCACACGGCACCTGATATTTGTGTGGCTTGTAAAATACACGGAGCCTCGCTTGCTTTTTCTCTCTCTATGTTTGTGTGTGTTTGTCTTTCTTTCAAGCAAACACACACATACTCATAGTCACACACATATTTCCTCGCTCTCTCTTTGTTACCCATGTCCCAGATCCCTCCTCTATTTGTTTGAGTGCACTGTGGAATTTCTGTCCCACTTTCTCCTCCAGACCCTCCTCATCCCAGCGTACACGAGAACACACACAAACACACACTCAAAAAAGCATACATTCTTAAGGACAAATAGCATGTTATATACATGTCCCAAATTGCATACATCCAACTAATGTCTGAACTGAATGTGTGTGTATATGTGTGTGTGACTGTACTGCCGGTGGGGTTACATGGCAGCAACTCCCAAATGATTGCTGGTGGAGATTGCCTGAGGAACAAGTGCACAATGGATGACATTCACATCTCCAGCACCTGGGTGTGGAGAAGGTGTGAAAGTAGCTCAACGTTGTGTGAGTCTAAATGAGCACAGGAGTGAAAAAATGGCTTGTGACAAATGTAGTTAAATACTGTATGTGACAGGTTTGTGGCAAAGGAAGCCACGAGAAGAGCAGGTCGACACTGCACACTGATGGAAGAAGAAAAAAGGAAAACGACAAAAGAGAGACAGCTGCCAGCAAGTGTCTGATTGCACTAAATGGTGGTTTTTACATTGGAGGGTCCTTCATCAAGAAATAAGGATGTGTAATTATAGACATAGGAGCTCCAGAGTGGCCTCTGATATCTGAAGCATGGTCAAGAGCTTTGTCACTTCATTGAGTGTGTAAAGGAAGTTTCCCTGGGAAAGGAGGGAAGATGAGAGCAGTCTGCTCCTGGATTTCACCGTTACCTAGATTAACTCTTGTCTGTGTCTGCCTCCAGCACCGCACCAGGAAATCATAAGAAATGAAAAGCGGGTTATGTCACCGCAGTAACTAATCACTGCTTGGCAAGTCGTGAAACACACACCTAGCTTCAGGTCAGAGAGACAAAGGTGGTAAAGAGTGATGATGACGAACCTGTGCTTGTTTCCTCGTTTTTTTATCGGCAGGAGACATTCACACGTTGTTGTCCACTCTCCCCAGGTGTCTGTGGTCCACCTGTTGAAAACAGTGCGTCTGCTGCGTCTTCTGCGACTTCTCCAGAAGATGGACCGCTACTCTCAGCACGGAACGGTGGTCCTCACACTGCTGATGTCTATGTTTGCCCTGCTGGCTCACTGGATGGCCTGCATCTGGTACATCATTGGCAAGATGGAGATAGAGGCCAACTCCTACAACTGGGACATTGGTGAGTATTAAATTTAAATACATTCAATAATAAAAGAGCAGAGGAATCAAAGTTGTGAGACATTCTATTATTTGAGATGTCAAAGAATTGTACCCACCATGTGTGTCTGGTGTAACTCAGGACAGACTGCTTGAATACCATGCCTCAAAAATGGTGAAGCTTTTCCTATGTTTTATGTTAATCATCGTCATGGACGTGCATCATCACGTGTTGCACTGTGTAAGGTTTGGCTGTAAAGAAGAACATCAAATGATGGTGAAAAGTGCATTTATGTAAAAATGTCAAACATATGCATCAAACCAAGCATAAAAGATTGATAGATACCATAATTGGACTATTGAACGCAACTGAATATAGGCTGCACCCACTAAACTTAAAAAGAAAAAAATATTTGTACATATATAGGCCGCACCTCTCTATAAGCACAAGTGTCCACATGTTGTAACATGGGATATCTACACATTATATAAATGCTGTGCTCCGAACAGTGCCTGTAACACGGATGGTTACTTGTTAGCTCTTTCCTGCTTCGTAGTTAAAATGAACAGGGGAGACTTCGTTACCTGCCCCACGGCCGAAGCTAACATTAGCTGCGGAGCTAACTCCCTTGACTTTGTGCTTGTCCGCAGCAGCGCTAAACAGAACCTCGGAGGTTGCGGTTTTATTATCAGCTACACCGAGCACAACAGTACATAAACAGCGTTTTAACAGGTCCTCTATAAGCAACTCACGCTTCAACGTTCGCTACCGTTCTCTCTCGCGCGCGCAGCCATTCGCAGACGCTACTAGCATAACACACAGTAACCTACCAGAAAAGTAATTGTGCTTCAAGACTCTATGTTGAAAAGCGTCTTAACATGTGTTAATCAGTATTTGTAATAGTATATATACATTTGCAAAATAAAATTTATGCAAAAAAACAAACAACAAAAAACAAACACGTTAATTACATTGATAATCACATTGATTTTTTTTCTGTGACCCCTTATTTCTCCTGTGACCTGATTCTCAGACTACCATTATGTTACCATTAGTCTAAGTTATGGGGGTAAAATAAGGCAGTATACCAAAAAAAGAAAATGATAATAAAATCATTTTAGTGCAAAACTGTTTCATGTTAATCGGCCAGTTAAACAGAAACTCATTATGACATTATGACGGTTCATGAAAGTTCAAACGCAGCAACTGCAGAACAAAGGTATTTCAATGACTTTGAACATGTAATGTTGTTGGTGCCAGGAGGGCTGGTGTTAGCATTTCAGTATTTGCTGATCTACTGGGATTTTGCCTTTGACCATCCCTGGGGTTTACACAGACTGAAAGACAGAAAGACAGCATTTCTGTATGTGGAAATGTCAAAGGAGAAGGCCAGATGTCAGAGGAGGAGGGTGAGTGTGGATTGAGATGACAGAAAGGCACCAGTAACAGAATCTCAACTCTCACCGCTGAGGTACTGCATGCACAGGGCCATCTGGAAAACCACAACATGTCAAACCTTGAAGCGGATGAGCTACAGTGGCAGCACAACTTCCCAGACAGCCTGAAGTAGTTTCCAGTAGGTGCACAGTCTGATGTTATGTCATCGTTAGCAGGACACTAGATATGCAGAACAATGACAGCCCATATCAGACACCGTGGAGTTGCTCGTAAAAGTACAGACAAACAACAACAATCGAACCACAACAGATGCAGTTCAAGACAGTGACAAAATGTGGTATTCTGGAACATTTAGAATCATTTTAAAATGTGTTTGGTTGAGAATTAATAATATACTATACACAAGAACAAAAGGCAGTTTTTCTTGCTATAGAGAGTCATTCTCCAGTTTATTTGAGCCCTGTGCTAAATCAATAAAAAAGGAAACAGTCAAAGGAAAATATTCAGAATAAATGGCCCATGGTTTTTAGCTCGAAATAAAAGCTGATGATTAATTCTTTAGCCAACACCGTTAATTCATGAAATGAGCCTTCTTTCTGCTACTCTTCTCCAAATAAATCCCACATAGCTGTCATTAGGAGCAACGATGTATCACGATGACTTTGTGTGTAGAGATTTCATTGCTCTTTATTCTCAAATCAACAAGACGACTGCAGCACTTGTTTTTCTTTCAGACGGTACATTTGGGCTGTAATTTCTGTCTACGTGTTGTTACAGCAGTCCTTGTCTCTACATTGTAATATTAAACCAGGATTGGAAACGAAGCAAAGGCATGAAAAGGCGGAAATGTGTGTGTGTTCGGTACCGAAGCACTGCAGTAAAATGACAATCCTTCACAGATCTACTGAAAATACACTGCTTGTATTGCAGTTATTGAGCTGAGAGGTCCTTGGATATGTAACAGACTCATCGAGCTGTCATACCATGGTGTGGGTGTCAGCGGCACTGGTGAATTTTCATCCGTTTCTCTTGAAGTTTCAGCAAACAGTGCACTTTATTGGCTAAATTAAGTTTATCATTCTCACGTCGATGTATTGATCCTTTTGTCTGCTGGTAAAAACAGTCAGAATAGAAAAGGTGATACGAGCCATTGTAACAGCTCTCACCTATATGTGTGTGTGTGTGTGTGTGACTTACACTGACTGTTGTGATTCTTCACGTAATTAATGACGGAGCCCCCAGGCATCCCCCTCAGCCTGCAGGTCCCTCATCTAATGAGGCCCCTTGGGCTGATCTGTGGTCAGTATCGATGAGCTGCATTGCCTGCGGTTGCCTCACAATGTCGTTTTCATAACTGGTTCTGGGTCAGTATCGACTGGGTCACGGGAACGATGCAGATTTCTTCTCACCAATTACCGCACTTCAGTGTCATAAGATAACGGGTCAGTACGTGAGTCAGGATTAATGTGTTGTATCCTAATTATGTGATTCTGATGTTGAAGTCATGCAGCTGTGAGGAACTTCCATCCAATTACCATTCATCAGTGTCTGTAGGAGACTCTCCTGGGATCTGCTACACTGACCAAAGATCAGTTCTGGTTCCCATTCAGTAAATCAAACTCTTATATCCATGTTTCTGACTATAACAGAAGAACTAGTGCTGTACAGTAGTCTCTGGTGTCGCCTCCAGATACTACAGCATGAAAATAAAGATACTACAGGGTAATTGTGGGTAATTACCTGGTACTTTATTCTTTCAATGATTCATCTAGAAGTCGGTCAAGAGGGAGAGAGAGTTCATTTTGGACCAGCTTTGTCTCTTAGTGACTTAGTGCTGCCATCTCACTTTCTCACTCAGGGTGGCTTCATGAGCTGGGGAAGCGTCTGGACTCCCCGTACATTACCTTAGTAGATGGCAACAGCACCAGCAATGGACCGTCCATCCGGAGCGTCTATGTTGCTTCTCTCTACTTCACCCTGAGCAGTCTGACCAGCGTGGGCTTTGGCAACGTGTCGGCGAACACTGATGCAGAAAAGATCTTCTCTATTTGTGTGATGCTCATCGGAGGTACGGAAAATACACACACAAATAACCTCATGTGTAAACAAAAATTATGAAAAGGACCCGGATATATGCAGCGAACAAAAACATGCTTAATAAACGTTTCTTTTTAAGCGGGAAAGTAGAAGTGGGACAACATGGATACAGCGTTTCGATATTTCCACATTTGAATCATTTCATTCTGAGTGCTACAATAATCCTCTTGCAGAAATTAGTATTTTAGAAAAAATCATTCCTGGGGCAAATGTCACACACAAGCAGAGAAATTTAAATTAGTTTTATTTTTATTTTGATCAAAAAGGTCTTAGGTTTGCCTTGGAGTAAAGTCCTTTTAGAAAGCTGATGACACCAGTTATAGTCTGTAGAAATCTATGTAGAAATATTAAAATGCTGTATCCAGGTTATCCTAATTCCACCGGCTTAAGATGAAACTCTTTTTTAACATCTGTACTTCTCTCAACTAATCAGTTTCACCTCCAAATTCATTATATTCAAATCAAGAAAGAATACTTGAAGGACTAACAATGACTTTGACTCGTTTGGTGTCACTACCTTATGACATTAATGAGTGTTTGATTAACTAACTCTTGAGGATGTTTTTGTCTCAACACTCTCTCCGATGTGGTTAAAAAACCACAGACAGTTTGAGGACGAAAACTCTGTGGTTTAAATATTGTTTTGGTGGGATTGGATCAGGTCATGTTTGTGACATTTGTCCCCTGTGGACAGTTGTCAGTCGGTGGGAGAAATGTTAAATGTCTTAGATGGCTGGAGGGCAACAGCAGCCCCACACACAAACACACACACAAACAAAAAAAAATTCCAACCCCAGTTATTTTTTGTAGAGGACCATGAGTCAAAGGATATGAATTTGTGGAAGAAATTGTAGAGTTCCCTTATGAGAATCATTTTGACAGATAAAGAGCCTTTATCCACCTGTAAAGAGAGAAAGAAAGAGAAAAAACAATCACAAACAAAGAAACTTTGTGAATACTATTTAAATTCTGGCTGAAAGGTTGAGTCAGGAAACTGAAGTCTGTAAACACAACAGTCACTTTTGACGTGTCTACTGTGTTTTGGCGCCTTCATGTCTCGTGGTGTGAGCTGCAGCAGAGTAGTGAGTGAGATTCGGAAAATACATTATGTGTGGCGGCCATATAAAGGCCAAGTATCTGTCACTCCAATCAAATCCTCTCCCGCTTCTGACACCGGTTTTCCCCCTTGGAGCTTTTCACGGCGGCAACACATGAATGTAAATATATTTTCTTCATGTTGACTGTTTGTTTACACACACAGATCCACAACTCCCAAGAAGAACCTCACCAGTACATTTGCAGGATAATATTGAATATGATTATGTGTTGTTGTTGTGGCTGATGTTTTTCTCATTTTATATATTTACCCTTGTATTTGTGTGTGTATATATATAACCTGTATACATACACATATATATTTACACCACCCTTTCCTGCTCTCACCTGCAGCACTGATGCATGCTCTGGTCTTTGGTAACGTGACGGCCATCATCCAGAGGATGTACTCTCGCTGGTCTCAGTACCACACCCGAACTAAAGACCTCAAGGACTTCATACGCGTCCATCACCTGTCGCAGAGTCTCAAGCAGCGAATGTTGGAGTACTTCCAGACAACCTGGTCGGTCAACAACGGCATCGACTGTAATGAGGTAAAAAAAAAGGAGGGCAACGTGAATCAGTTTGAAGTGTTTTCAACACACCACTACAGCACAGGCGGATACAAACATTTTTTTCCTGTCAGTCTCAGTCTCTATTGTGTGACTCGCAAAGTTCCAGATTAAAATAAAGAAAGACTTATTGGCAGATATTAGTAAAACGTTTGTATACAAGCACAAATACTTACTTACTCACTAACTAAAACAGCTTGGGTATTTTTAACATTAGCATGAGCGTTTCTGTAGCTGGATTAAATAATTGTTGTCTTTTTCCCATTAACCTACATTCAGACACTCAACTCAGCTCATCACGTAGAGATCAATGATTTACTTAAAAGGCAACATGTTTCTGCCCAATCTCACTACAGCCACACTGGAAGTGATGATTAGAGGGTTAGAATAATCGATACTACGTGATCCCCCCAACAGAGGCAGAGCACGCGTTAACTGACAGAGAAGAATGCAGAGCCAGGAGACCTGCTGAAAACATCACTCCAGTGTCTCACACTGAACATTCGTCTGTAACGTCTGCTTGTTGGTTCTAAAATACATGAAACCAAATCTGAATTATAAGATTTGCCCCCCAGGTAACGTCCCAATGCCTAAAACAAACACTTAAAAAACGTATTCCTCCACCGGACCTCAACCGACGGCTGATATTAGGGTCAAGGTCTACATGTTCATTTAAAGTGACACTTTGTGCAGCCTTTGCCAGACGGAATATCTGGTAAACACCTGCAAAAATAATACATGGTGAAAAGCGGAGACTGGTGACGGAGCTAAATTTGAGCTGTGGTATAATGACAGCATGGAGAAAACACAAGATGACACAGAGGCGGGAGAGCGCCTTTTCTAACAAACTCAATGGAGGCAGGGAAACAGGCAGTAGTCTAATATCAGCCCGTCCCTCCAGGCTGCAGCCAGTGCCTGCGAGACAGCTGTCAGAGCCCAGACTAGTGCTGAGATGGAATGGTGATGATGATGATGATGATGATGATGATAATGATGAATTCCAGACAGATGAATTATAGATGGGCCCGTTGATTGAAGTCAGTCTGGCTCTTATGACTCATCGATTGGCTTTAGGTGACGCTGAGCTCCAAAGCTTTGTCCTGACACTGAGGGAGGGATATAAACGTTATGTCCAGAACAGAGATGGCACTGTGAATGCTTGTTTTTGCTTATTTATTCTGTGTGAAAGTCTGGGCCACATAAACCTGACAACGACTAGCTACAGTGGCCCATGGACATGTCAGTTTTAACAATGTGTTTAGTTATTTAGAGCTGTAGAAAAAAGTGTTCCTGACAAAACAAAACACATTTGGGATTCATTATATTAAAATGAATCATTATATGTTGAAAATGATATAAAATTCACTTCTATAACTGCTTTTATCCATTAGCCTCTAGCTAAACAGTTAAAACAGAAAATTATTCTGTTTACCAGTTACTAGATCATTTAAAATTTTTCCATGTGATGTTTGGATTCTAAATCTCTGCAACTCGAACAATTGATTTTGGCCTGTGAAAAAAAGCCATATCTTGATGTAACATTAATGTTTCCTACAGTGCAGCAGCTATGGAATCAAATCACAAAGCACCCAAGCCTGGAAAATGTAATCAGCAAGTTGCAGCATGGCATTTTTCCAAAGCTGTCACGCCAGCCTCACTCTTCCCGTTCTCTCCGTCTCGTTCTCTGCCTCTTTTTCTCTCATCATCTCCACAGCTGCTGAAGGACTTCCCAGACGAGCTGCGATCCGACATCACCATGCACCTTAACAAGGAGATCCTGGAACTGTCGCTGTTTGCCTCCGCTAGTCGTGGCTGCCTGCGATCCCTGTCTCTGCACACTAAGACCTCCTTCTGCACCCCTGGGGAGTACCTCCTCCGACAGGGAGACGCACTCCAGGCCATATTCCTTGTCTGCTCCGGGTCTATGGAGGTGCTGAAGGAAGGCATGGTGCTGGCCATCCTGGGTACGATACAGTAAAAAAAAAAATCAATTTTCTCTGTTGTTATAGATTCACAACAAGCCTTCCTGCAACAGTTTCCATAATAAAGCCCTGTGCGGCTCATTGTGGTAACGCCTGGGTCGAGCAGATGAGCTTTTTGTTTGCAAAAAAGAAGTTATAGCTCATAATCAAGGCCTAATGTTATTTTATGACCATTGCATAAGGCATGGTATGTCTAATAGGTTCAAACTATAAACATAAGACAGCTGGTTGCTTGTTTAACACACCACATCTCTGCTGAGACCAGGATTTGAACCAGTGACCTCTGGTAACAAGCCTGATGGGCTGCCCCGAAAAGTCAAATGAAAAAGTCACACTGTTAAGAACTTAACGTAACTGGACACAGAGACCGCAGGTCATTAGGCTGAGCATCACTGCAGTTAAAAGAAGTTAAAATCAGTCAAGTGAAGAATTAATTAGCATTCCATTCAGATCACGAAGACCCAGAGCCAATAAAGGTGAGAGAAGCTTTAATGTACAACCAATTGTGTTCAGGCCTCAGTAATTCAGTCCTGTCAACTTTAATGTGTCGTCCTGTCCAGTGCATCCCATCAGGTCATTCACTCGAGCCAGGTAATTCCAGCTCCATCTAGTCAGGGCCGGTTAAATGCCAGCCTTAACGAGTGACGGTTGAACCCAGTGTGTTTGTGGTGTATCTGTTTTAATGGCAACATTTCTTTATAAAATATTTACAATCTTTTTTAAAAAATAATTTGGATACAATTTACAAAATGACATCATGGACAAAATTAAAATTATTATTGATTTTTAGTTGTGGGCTGGATGTGGGTGGTGTGCGAGCATGTAGAATTATAAATTAGGTGAGAAGTGGACATATTGTTGCACAAACTTTCATATGCACTTCCTGCTTCCTTCTAGGCTTTAGTTTTGCAGCAGATGTCCACAGCCTTTTTTATATTTAGTCTCTTTGTGTGTGTGTGTGTGTGTACGGTGATGCAAAAGGCCACACCTGTGTGTCTGTTTGAGTTAAAATGGTGTTTTTTAAGGCAGCTGCTCCACACAGTATCCACTGTCAGTGTTAGACAGCAGTTACAGGACAACGCTGGAATAATCTGTGTGTGTGTGTGTGTGTGTGTGTGTGTGCGCACGTGCGAACCTGTTGATTGTCTCAGCAGCTGCTTTCAAATGCACTGTATTTGGGCATGTGTGTATAAAGGCGCTGGGGTTGTTTACCGATGCACCAAGGTAACGTCTGTGTGTGTGTGTCTCTTTGTGTGCGTGTGTGTGGGTGAGTGGGTGAATGGGTGAATGTGTGTCTGTAGGCTTGACAGGCGCACAGTATTGCCTCTGTACTTGCCTGCTGACTGTGCAGAAGGTCAGGCTGACACTGAGTGTCTGACTGAAGGAGGAAAATTCGTCTCTCTCTCTCTCTCTCTCCCCCTCTCTCTCTGTCTCTGTGTCTCTCTCTCTCTGCCTGTTCCCTCCTTTCTTGTCACAACACAACAAGTCTGAACTGACAGCTCAGTGCCACGTAATGGAGAGTGGCCATGGTGAGAGAATGTGGAGAAAAAAGTCTTTCTGATGGAGAGAGAAAAAGAAGAGTTAAAAGAAGAATATCCAAAAGAAATGGAGCAGATGTTGGAGTGAATAGGTGAAGCAAGAAGAGGTAGAAAGAAAGAGAGAGAGAGAGAAACCGTGAGACCAAGAAACACAGGAAACATTTTAATTTGTGGTCAATTATTCCAGGAGAGGAACGAAGAGGAGAGGAGAAGAGAGGAGAATAGAAGAAGAGAGGAACAAAGTCATGGTTTAAAGGGAAAGAAAGAAGAATGTTGGAGTAAAAGAGCAAAAGAAGAGAGGGAGAGAGGAAATAGTAATACAAGCAAGGTGAGAATGAGGAATGAGAGGCTCAGAAGAAGAACAGATGTGCAAAAGGAAGAGAAGATAGGGTATCTAAAAAAGATTCAGGGGGAAAGAGAAAACTGAGAATGAAGGCGGAGGGAGGGCCACGGAGGGGAGGGAGGAGGAGCGGCAGAGAAAAACAGCCAGAGTGAAAGCAGTCACGACTGCCGCTCCATCAGCTGCACTTTAATTGAGCGGCGTTCAGAGTTCACTATAACCATGATGAATATTTTATCACTCCTGAAGAGGTATTAACACCATAACGCTGTCGTCTAACGTACAGTATCAGGAGAACAGAAAACATCTGTCAGGGCCAACGCAATCAAAACGTTAATTGACACTGAGGACTGAGGCTAATTATTTGTCGTAAGTAAAAACATCCAGTGTAATCAGAACTGTTCTGGTGACGGACTACTAAAGTGATATTTACCCTCTAAAAACCATTTAATGGGAAAAAGATGAATGTTGTGTTTCTTTTTGTCTGCCCACAGGTAAAGGAGACCTGATCGGAGCAAATGTGTCCTTAGACGACCGGGTGATTAAAACAAATGCCGACGTGAAAGCTTTGACCTACTGTGACCTGCAGTGTATCAGCCTGAAGGGCTTGTACGAGGTGTTGGACCTTTACCCCGAATACTCCCACCAGTTTGTGCAGGACATTCAGCCGGACCTCACGTACAACCTGAGAGAAGGACAAGAGACACACGTAAGTCCAGATGATGGGGTTTAAATCCCGGCATCGTTTTTCTCCATTGTTTCTGAGTTTGAGAACAGCTACAGAAGAGGCACCAGTCAGAGCCATTATGACAAGTTGAAATGTAGTTGTCAAGATTGCCAATATCTCATAATGAAGTATTCCATTTTTTTTTTTATGTATATACTATACATTTTGTACAATAACATCTAGCATCCAATCCCCTTGGAATTTTTGTTCTTGTAGATTTCTGTAAACAATGATGTTTTTGATCATCATAAGAGGGATATTTTAAATGGTAATTTTTGTTCATCAAAATCTTTTCAGCTATTTTATACTAGACAGAAAAAAAATCAAGTATAAATAAATTAACATTACTGTAACAAAACTGCACAGGGATTTTTTTTATTTCTCCTTCTGTTATTATGGTGTAAATATTTCTGTATTTGTACAAATCAAATAATTAATGAGAACACTAGATCCAGCCAACGGCTGATATTTGGCTGAGGACTTAATACACACTTAGCCGTCAGATCCACTCAGTGAATAAATGAAGGCAGTACTGCAGTAATGAGTAAGAATAAGAGTGATGGAATTAGGGACAGGGGACAGGTGGTGGGAGGGGCTTCACTGCTGTAATTAAGGTCTGGTGTTTAGCTGTCTTTTCAGACCAACACACACACGGTGTGTACCTGCTGTTTTGTTTTTTAAGGTGACACTTAATTGCAGAGGGACAGGCGTGAGTACAGACCTGGAGGACAACCAAATGAGTTGAGGAGCTCAGGGTGTGTTTTTGGTGAGAGCTGAAATAGGACAGTAAATGAAGTGATTTGAACTCAGCTAACCGAAAAACACAGATTTGCAGGATCTTTGTTTTACCACTTGAGAGAATCATTGCGCCCTATAAAAAGATTTTGAAAACAATTTGAGTTCTCTCTTTACTGCACTTCATTTACTGTGTATTTGTTCTCTGGCTGTCCTCTAGGTTAAGGCCAAAGTGACCACAATGGCACTAGACGCCCAGGTAAGAAAGTCTGTGTCAAGTAATTGTCACCTTGACTGTCGATAAACTCATCTGATGTTTCCTACCAACCGAAGTTTCTTGGCCGTCTGTGAACAAATAAATGACGGAGCTGGAGTTAGCGGTTTATTATGGATCAATTCTCCATTCTATAAAAAAAGTCTGCTGGGCGGGAGCCGGCAGTCGAACTTCATCTCTAATAATGGACTCAATCCTTCTCTGAGACCTAATGATTGTGATGAAGAACTGAGAGAAGCAGCGATTTTGCATCAAACACAGTTAGCGGTCGTTAAATCACACACAGACGTTAGCTGACGGTGGAAGACTCTACAGTAAATGTTAATCTCTCCTCTCTCTGCCGTCGCTGCCGTGAACGTGGACGAACAATACAAATATAATCACCTACACTCGGATGTTTTCCAGCAAAATGAATTGGCAGGTGCCGGCAGAACCATTAACCTCACAAAGTGTTATTTTCCAGCGAGCGGCTCGGGTCACTGGCTGATGATCAATAGGTTATTCTCAACCTTGGTTCCTCTTACTGCAGTTGATCGCCATCATAGCAATTTAGTAAAACCACAGACCTCTGACACATGAGGACACCGGCCCCCGTGTCCATTAGAACACATGTCAGAGTTCAGTCCTGCTGCCTTTATTATCCTGTGGGTCACATTTTGCAGCCCAGACCTTGGGCTAACACCAGCTGTTATGTTACGCTGCCTGCACTGACGAATCATTAGTGCATACGTGTGCATTAATAACCCCCTCTGTGTAATCCAGGGTCACGGTATCAAGCCAGCAAACACCACTTCATCTTCATAGACAGCAACAAAGGGAAGAAGAAAAAAAAGAATAAGAGTTTATGTTGCTTTCACGAACACAGACTCAAACCAAGGACACTGCTTTAAATAACTTATCTGAACATGAATAGTTTTGGTTTCTTTAAACTCTAAGCTTTCTTCACTTTACTTTGGATTCAGTTCCTTCAAACATAATTTGTCATTGCTTTGGTTCTGACATTTTCATTTAACCTCACAGTTAACAAACTTGACAGTTAACATCACTGGTCTTGAACTTCAACTTGGCTGTAGTTGACTGCGGTGCAGCAGGGTTTAGGAAGTTTAGGAGGGAGTTTTCAGGCAAAAGTACAAGATAAAAAAAAGACCAAAATGACCCTAAAAAAATGTTTAAAAAATGTAAGTTCTTTGCTCTGGGCCAACAACGTGGTTCTCTGCTACAGTTTAAAAAATAAATGTTAACTTCAGACTTTTGGACTCTTTAATGGTAAGGTAATATTCATCTTATTCTAATTACTACTATGTTTCTGTGTTCAGTCAGGGGTGAGGAGAAACGGGCAAGTGGTGCAGGGTTATCCATCCATCATTGAGGCTCAGGGGGAAGATGGAGGGGACGGGGATGAAGAGGACGAAGAGGACAAGGCCACGTCTGTCTCTCTGTCGTCAGAGCAGAACAGAGCCTCCAAACTCAGGGATGCCAGTGGGAAGTCTCTGCTGAGCCGCCCCAGCCAAAAGACCACGGGGCAGGGCCTCAGGAGTTCTGGAAAGAAGATCCAGGAAATTAATCTTGCCAATTTAGATCCATCCAACCTCAGCCCCAGGTGGGTTTGATCACCGTTGATTTCTCTGTCTGCCTGGGTTGGGTGGGTTTTTCCTGTGACTTTGTGCTTTGACCATTTCTGAAGAACTAACTTTGGATTTGTAAGAGGGAACGTGTTTGATTTGTTTGATCTTTCAGTCCGACCAATGTGAACACTGATCCATAAATTGTATATACATATATACAGCATAGAAGTTACATGTGATTTCATTACTCAGCTGGTGCTTTTCTAGACCTACTTCGAGGTCTTGTCCAAGGACACATGCACAGGCTGGGCCTGGCATTGAACTCTGACCATTTAACATTTTTACTGTTGGAAAATATCACACTTCAGCCTGACCCCACAGAAAACCATGCTTGAAAACACGAGACAAGACCTCATTAACAGAGTGTAAAAAAGGCCAAATAATCGATAAAAACACCATAAATAGACTCAGTTCAGCCGTAGGGAAACATAACTGAGAGGTAGGGGTAAACAGAAAGAAGAGATTTATGTTTCTGTAACATTTAACTATCTAAACTTTGAAGAAATCCTGTGGAATACAGTATAAATATAGATAGAGGAATGCCACATATATACAATAGCAAAATACATTTCTTCTAATAAATGAGATGTGTTAGATAGAACAGAAGATACTGACGTGGGACGAAAAAAATCATTAAACGTTTGTACAAATCTTAGGAAGTTTAAATATCGTGGTCCTGTTTTTGTATTGGAAAATCAGCATTTACACTTTCATTTGTAAGGAAATAAGTCATTAAAAAAGTAAGTGAGAAGTCAGTCCAGACTACACATGACCCAGGTCTCAGTCTCAGTCACGACAAACACAGGCTTTGTTGATTTTCCTTCTTTTCTTAGCGCTTCAGTTCCGGTTTAGGGATCTTTCTTGGATAAGGATCGCACACAGGTGTAGTAGTTAGCAATATTGCCTTACAGCAAGATGGTCACCGATTGGCATCCCAGCTTGGGCAGATGGCAATTTTGTGTGGAGTTTTCATGTTCTCCCTGTGTGTGCATGGACTTTCTCCAGGTATAACTGTTTCCTCCCACAGTCCAAAAACACGCAGATTGAGAGAATATTAACTTAAGACTCTAAATTGTCCACAGGGGGCAGTGTCTCTGCTAGTTCTTCTCCAAACATGGCCAGCCATGCAACTGGAATTGCAAAATATGGGCTAAATGAAAAACCTGGAGTAAATCGTTAAAAAGATAAAATGATTGAAGTGAATGTTCTCTCTTTTCCTATAGGGTTGTGGACGGTGATGAGGACAGTGAGGGGACAGAGAGTTCCCCGGCCTTCTCCTTCTCCATCCCCCGTGGTTTTCCTGTCACCGAACCCACCAGTGCCTCGGCTTCTGCCACAGGTTCGCACATTCCTCTCTGTTTTCTAGTTTACCTCCTAAACAGGACCTAATAAATCCAGCCACCTTAATCCTGCGTGAAGACAAATATTCCCATCAAATCCCCACAGAACTGCTGTATAACGATAATGATTAATTGTAAGAATTGTGCGATTCCTGTCAACACCCAGAGTATTCATCAGCCTGCATGCAATAACAGCTGGGCACAAATCTGCACTCCCTCTATTTGTGTTTTGAAGCGATTTGTAACCGGCTAATTTGTGTCACAGATATGCTGCAGATCAGCACAGCAGAATTAGCAGCGAAAGCAGAAGAGACCAGGGGACAACTGCGACATCTTGACCAGCAGGTAGGACTGGAACTGGTTTCTGTGGTGACAGACAGACAAATGAGCTCAGCCCATATGGCTGTGTCAGCATGTCTGACTCAAGACAGGTAATAGAATTGGCCAGAAAGAAGAAGTAAAGCCTGAAATAAATAAAGGAGCTGTAAAGTACAGTGTGTGTGTTTTCACGGCCGGGCTGCTGTGCTTTATTATCACTGAGGTTCCCGAGCTAAGCTATAGGGACGTTTTATACTCTACAGAGGGCCGTGACCCGCCTTGAAATGGCGTCTTCATGCATGCTACATCCTATGGTTTTGATTGGCAGGCAGCTAAATTGACATTAGACTTTTGGCAGGTGTGGAGGAGTCCTTGTTTCCTCCCACTGAGCCACAGTCTGTGGGAAGCTCAGCAAGAAAGGGGAGGAAAAGGGAGGAAAGTGGAGTGAAGGCAGAGGACACTGAAAAAAATGGAATTGTGACAGAATTCAGTGTTAGAGACTACAGTGCAGCACCTTCACAGTTACATACACACACTGGTCCTGGTGTCCTTTGTGTGTCTTGATGGGTTACTGCCGTCTGACAGGAAGTCGCTCAGCGCGCTCTGGTAGGCTTTAAATCTGGATTCTGAGCAGGAGGTAAATCCTATCTGTTCTGCACAAACTACAAAGACGGCAGAACAAGAATCATCAGTTAAGAAACTTCATAAATCCAGTAAATCACTGCTGATTTATTCTCTAACACACCAAAACTGCCCGCCAGTTATTTATAGATCCATATACGGTGCGGTGGGGAACAAGCCGTAACATTTCACATTCTGCTGTTTCAGCTCGATTGAGGTAATATATGATGTCAATCCAATTTTTTTTTTCCAAATAGAGCCTTTTTTTTAAATCAACAAGCTCAGCTTATCAGAGGAAAGCCAGAGGAGCACTTTTCACTTTCGGACAGTTTCACCTCAAGTGACTCCACCTCTAAACAGAAAGGCATCGATTGGAGATTTAAGCGTGAGATATGACCGTGTGAACCGAAGAGGTTGATACGGTTCATTTGGCTGCTGAATCAGTTCACAAATGAAGCGGAAGAGGCAGTGTTTTTAATGAATTACAAATGTTGAGACGGCAGCCATGAAGAAGCACTGCCTTGATCTTTGACCTTTTACCTTCACCTTTTGACATCAGGGTGTTTCATTCTCATGGGACATGAATAATGCAACAATAGGGTTTAGAAGAGGACTAACACTGGGAACGTTGTCAAGCGTCATGTCAACTGTGACGTCCAGTAATGCAGGAAAACTGTCCAGGAGTATTATGTAATCAGTGATGTCACAACAATCAAAAAGATCTTTCATGTTTACCTTTATACGTCTGTGCTTTAGGGGCATTTTTATTTTGTAAAGTTAGCTAAAAAAAGCCCTGAGCCCCTGTATTAGGGTCTCTCTTGGCTCCGCCTCTGGTTTTGTTTTTCTCTTTAACTGCACACTGTGTTTATGGGCTACCTGCTCACTCAGATCTTCCCCTTCAGCTTGGGAAATGTTGTGCGTAGTTGAATTTATTTTTTGCCATGAACATCCTGTTGTATTTGGAAACAAGGTCAGGCATAAAAGAGGGCAGAACATCGCAGGACATAAAAACCCAAATAAAATGCTGGGAAGACGCTGCACTAAGGACACTAAAAATGATTCACATTCAACATTATAGTTAAAAACAAACAAGACTTCACAATGAAACAAATTGACCAGATCCAGAAATCTGAAAAAACAAAACAAAAAAAACCCAGGCCCAATCTGACTGTGCAAGAAGGAAGACTCTGGCCTGACTTAGACCAACATGACAAAAGTTTCTGACTCAGTAGTATTTCAATAGTGACGTGGCTGAACCTAGTACAGAGTAGTGAATGGCCTGAAATCATCATACAGAATGATTTCATGAAGTTGGTTACTTGACAGTTGCTTCATTGTTACAGGCTAGGATGAACCTGCATCTGCACTGGTCTCTGGGTAACCAGTAGCTACTCTGTTGCTTAATTGTTCTGTGTGAGGTGTTAGCACTGGAATCATGTTGACAGCGCGTCAAATTGAACTGTCCTGCTGTGCTTTCTATTTTTGTCAGTGCCTGAGTTCATGAACAGACTTTTGTCAGGGATGGATGGATGGATGAACAGACAAAACAGATGGACAGACAGACAGACAGACAGACAGACAGATAGACAGGTAGATAGATAGATAGTTAGATAGAACGCATTTTCACAGGGACTTGAGCTGCTCCCACCTGCACTTGTGCGTCCTTGTGAGGGCTAATGCTCATCCAGCAGCAGTGATGTGTGATGAATGGTCATGAGTGCTTTGACTGGCAGAAACAGATGGCAAGTTGGCAGGGCTTCACCATCGTGGCCTCTGTGGACACGCCACGTGCTGCGCCACTAATCATCAGATCATCCCAGCGCCTACTCCCATACACTGTAAGGACTAACTATAGCAGCATGGCGTTGTGCACAGAACAACAGGAAGGGTCAGGGATATTTTCACCTAAAAATGACTAACCTGAGAACATCAAAAGCAACAGACTCTACACCCCAGGGCATTTTGTTCTTCCAAAACCAAAGACAGAAAAATTACATTAGGGACTTGACGCCTGTTTAAAGAAAGTAAGTCAACAATTATTTTTAAAGTAACTATATTGTGTAATAATAACTTTGATTATATATATGTTCAATATTTCAAACAAAGAAACTAAAGAAAAATATAACTTACAAACCGACATCAAGCAGCATCCAGCAGCTGAATACAAGGTCAAATGTTCACATTATCAGTACAGTAAAAATGTGAAAATGTCAGCACACAGTGAACTATCTTTTAATATTACCTTATTTTATATTATAAGATTTTTACATTGATGAACCGCACAAGGGTGAACTCTGACAGTGAACCCTTAACGTCCAACATCTTGCCTTAAAGGACATTGATTTGAATGTGAGAGGAGTCTGAGACAAATTTTGCTTCAAGCAACCAAAGATTATGTGATTTTTTTTTTAAAAAAGTCCTGGACCACAGGAGCAAAGATGGTGTGTAAACAACATTACTTTCTCTAAGACAGATAATATTTTTGCAATTACTAGATCTTGAAAAACTCTCTGTAAAGAGAATTCGGGTTGTTTTTTTTTGTTTGTTTTTTTTGCTAATCGTATTTTCCTGCTATACAAATATACTTTAATAATTTACCATTTTTACTGTGATGGTTTTCTCTCTGTAGTGAAGCTTCTGTTTCCTACATTTTTGTTAAAAAAAGATAGTGAAAGATTTAAGGTGCACGTGCTATTTATAGTTAATGTTGCTATAAGCCACTCGCCTCAAGCGTTAATCATGTGTGTGTTGGCCAGGGATAGGGTTTGACTCTACCCACACAGGAGGTGAGGAGTTCAAGAGCCCTCTGATGATGTCATTAAAAATCCTTAACATATATATCTGCTATTCTCTTCTATTCTTATTGTTAACACCAAAAACGGTCACATGTTCAGCTGATTCTGTCAATATATAAGGAAACAAAGAGAAATATTAAGAAAAATCTTGGCAACGCTGTGTTTTATGAAAAACAGAATTTAAACTGTGGCCTTTTTAAAAGTGAGGTTTTATCCTAAATGTTCTGTCTGGCTTGACACTGTCCAGTGAACTGAAGAAATCTTACTCTATGTCTAGCCTTTCAACTGTTCTAAGTTTATAACTTGAGAGTTTCTAGTTCCAAAGTCAGTGTTTCCTTTTAATTTGCTGCCAAAGCTCAGGATGAGACACATTCACTGACCCCAAGTAAAATATCAGTCCCTGAACAGATTTATTTCTTACATATGATTTTAAAAATTTGAAAAATAAGTAATTTCTTTCCACTATGATGTTAGTTTGGGACACTTGAAGCTAATGTGTGTGATCCATACTATAGCAAGATGATTGTCACTATAAGGCAGCGTTGACCCGGCAACTATGGCAATATCAAAATAAGACTTGTGTCTTTGGTCGAGTAGCAACAACCCTGTGTCTTGTAAAATACACAATATATTTCTATCGTAGTCCAATTTCCAGCCTTCAAATCAAAAGAATCTGTTATCCATGATGATGTCCAATTCCTTATTTGGTCATTTCCTATTATCTGTTGGTGTTCACAGGTCAGCACTCTGGGTAAGGAAGTGGCTGATCTTGGACAAGTCATGAAGAGAATGGTCCACCTGATGGAGACACTCATGTCATCAACGCCACCCCCTTCCTTGGACTGCAAAGCACACTTTTCTGCGGGTCACCACTCATTCCTGCCCTACGTGACCCCTCCTCAGTCCTGTCCTCCTCAGACTTCCTCAGTCTGGACAGATACACCCGTGTCATTGCCTTCTTCTCCGCTGACTACTCCACACCAACATGGTGCTGTATGCAACCTCGACTCCCATACGCACAGACCCCTAGATCTGGACCTGGGATACGCTGCTATCCCTATGCAGCCTCACATGCCTTCCTTATCCTTCAGCTCACCAGAGATTTCCCATCACACAGACAGGGTTCACAGCCCCATCAGGTCAAGGGTGCACAGCCCACCTCCGCAGGACGGAGGAGATGAGGGCCCTCCACAGAGTTCTTTAGAGTGTTCTCCACAAACTGGACAAGCGCAGGGACATCTCAAGCCAGCCGAGGGTTTGTAGCAGCCCTCGGTATCTGCGGGCTTTTTTTCCAGGACACTAAGCTGATCAACTGAGGTCCCCTCATATTTACTACAGGACATTTGCAGGGATGCAACTCAGATTACTTTTGTTTAAAAGGCACGTATTTAAAAAATAAAATGAAAAAAAAAAACTCCAGTTGCATGACAACAAGTACAGAAGGTTTAGGTATGTTAGCCTTACCTTAATAGAAATATAGTGTTGTAAGACAGAATATAGAAGTTTGGTTCAATTTTAAAGCTGCAGAATTGCAGCTCTCTGGGCCCAGCTCTCCTCCAACCCCACCACCGCCCCCTGCTCTGTGGACACAGCTTAGCTCCAAACCACAGTCCTGCTGCCTTGAGGCATAGAGCAACATGCCATAACAGAGGACAAGAGGGAGACACAGCAGAGAGTTCTTCCTGTCCTCACTTTTCTTGCTCCTGGCGAAGGTCGGCTGGTTTGGTCAGAGGAAGAGGCAGCATTATGGAGTGACGGTGCCTGGCTTTAGAATTAAGGATGGAAGGCGTGGGGTGGGGGTGGTTAACTTTCTCTTCTCTCCCCCCCCTCCCAACTGCCCTGTCTCAATTCATCTCCTCTTAACCCATCTGCTCACTGAACCTACTCTGGATTATCTGGACCAGTGTGTGGCCGGTTGACGCTGCCGGTATAGGTCGTCTAGGAGGTCGTTAGTAAAGAAATGTGTTCCCTTCTTTATCAATTGCCCTGAGGAAAGAGTACTAGAGGTTGGTTATGGAGAAGGGTGGTGATGGTGGTGGTTCTGCCTCGGGCAGCGGAGCGTCTGCTGTTTGCTGTGTGTTCCACTGAGCAGAGGGAGAGCTGCTCCCATCGCTGCTTCTCTCCACAGACCTGCCCCCCTTTTCCTCTCTCTCCTTTCCCTCCTTC